AGCCATCAGTGAACATTCACTGGTCAAAGGCTGCAGCCCAGCAGGTTGTCTGTCTCGTGGGAAGGGGTTAAAATGCCAGGAACTGCACCAGTGCAGTTGTTTGCAAGACCCAGTGGGTTGAAAACCCTCATGGAGATGGAGGTTTGGAGCCTGGGTTCCTCTGCCCCAAGCAAGGGCTCAAATCGTGGGGCTACTAGATGGAAGAAGAGGTTCTATGATCCCCTCAGGCCTCCTTGGTGTTCAAGCAGCTCCCAGTCCTGCAGCCTGGCTTCTGCAAGCCCCAGTTTGAGGTGCTGGTGGCCATCCCTGCCTTGTGTGGGACTGTGAGGAGGGGGACAAAACCAGAATCCCAGCCTGGTTTGGGTGGGATGGACCTTCAAGATCATCCAGTTCTCACCCCCTGCATGGGCAGGGACACCTCCCAGCAGCCCAGGCTGCTCCAAGCCCCATCCAACCTGCCCTTCAACACCTCCAGGGATGAGGCAGCCACAGTTTCCCAGTCACAAAATGTCTCTTCCAGGCTCTCTCTGGTTCCTTCATCCACCTCTGAAAGTGCAACACTCATCTAGACACAGGCTGGCCAGAGCAGGAGAGGGATGATGCTCTGGGGAGCAGTTTCACCCCCTCAAAGCCCCATCAACTGGGAGAAGCCACAACACTGGAGCCCATGTGTCCAGAGCACCCCTGGGCTGTGTTGGAGCTGAGGAGATGGTAGAAATGGGATGAGAGAAGGTGTGGGGATCAGCACAGCACTGGGCAGAGCTGCCCACTCAAAGAAAAGAGGGTAAGGAAGAATGTGAAGAGTTTCCAAGGATTCTTCCCTGTGAGGGTGGGGAGAGCCTGGCCCAGGTTGCCCAGGGAAGCTGTGGCTGCCCCATCCCTGGGGGTGTTGAAGGGCAGGTTGGATGGGGCTTGGAGCAGCCTGGGCTGCTGGGAGGTGTCCCTGCCCATGCAGGGGGTGGATCTAGATGGTCTTCAAGGTTCCTCCAACCCATTCCATGATTCTATTGTCACACCATTGTGATCATGCAAGACCTACAATCATGGAATTTAGCTCCTGGGATGGTTTGGGTTGGAAGGGACCTTCAGGACCTCCCAGATGATCCCACTAAATTATCTTCAAGGTGCTGCCCCATCCCTGAAGTGTTCCAGGTATCTAATGTGGGGCTTGGAGCAGCCTGGGCTGCTGGAAGGTGTCCCTGCCCATGCAGGGGGTGGGACTGGATGATCTTGAAGGTCCCTTCCAACCCAAACCAGTCTGGGATTCTGAACATCCCTGGGTGGGGTTGCAGAATGATGTTATCAAGTCAGAGAGGCTGCATCTCCCTGCCACCAGGACAGGTGACTTCAGGTGGGGACCAGCCCATGCTCAAGGACTGGAGCAGCACAGCCTGGCTGGTGGGCACCATCCAGGTCCAAGGACTCCTGGGCTCTGTGCTTTGGCCTGTGGAGTTGCTGCCAACTCTTTGCTCCTCCAGTGCTCGTGGCTCCTCCATGCTGGGATGTTGGGCAGGGCTGGGACAGGCTCAGGCTCAGGGATGTGCAGGAGAACATCCCTGCCAAGCCCAGCCCAGCCCCAGGCTGCTGTCCTGAATCTGAGGGACACCCTCCAAGAATGAACTGTGTGTGCAGCCTTTCTGAAAGCCCCTCCAGATGGTGGCAACTGCTGCTTAATCCTCACCATGACTGAGGCTGCTTGTGGAAAGGAGGAGGACAAACATAAAAAAGGGGGAGGGAAGAAAAAAACCCAAACCCTAAGACAGCCATTTGTCTTGTCAGTTTGTTCACAAACAGCATCAAGCAAAAATAAGCAGAGAGTTCAGTGGATCTGGAGGGCAGGAGGATGCACCAGCCCCCAGCTGGGCCATGGGCAGCTCTGCTGGATGCAGGGCTGGGACAGGCTCAGGCTCAGGGAGGTGGAGGAGAACCCCCCTGCCAAGCCCAGCCCAGCCCCAGGCTGCTGTCCTGAATCTGAGGGACACCCTCCAAGAATGAACTGTGTGTGCAGCCTTTCTGAAAGCCCCTCCAGATGGTGGCAACTGCTGCTTAATCCTCACCATGACTGAGGCTGCTTGTGGAAAGGAGGAGGACAAACATAAAAAAGGGGGAGGGAAGAAAAAAACCCAAACCCTAAGACAGCCATTTGTCTTGTCAGTTTGTTCACAAACAGCATCAAGCAAAAATAAGCAGAGAGTTCAGTGGATCTGGAGGGCAGGAGGATGCACCAGCCCCCAGCTGGGCCATGGGCAGCTCTGCTGGATGCAGCAGCACCCCAGGGAATGGCCTGGCCAGCTGCCTCCCAGTATGGCCTGGGCTCACTGCTGGGGTCAGGGCTCTACACCCCTTTTTCCAGTTGGAAACCCCCCAGGCACATGGGATGTAGAGGTTTTTCTCAGGCCACCCACGAGTTCAGTTCTTCCCTTCCTCAGCAGCACCCCCAGCAGAGGGACTGTGGAATCATGGAATGGTTTGGGTGGGAAGGGACCTCAAAGATCATGGAATTCCAACCCCCCTGCATGGGCAGGGACACCTCCCAGCAGCCCAGGCTGCTCCAAGCCCCATCCAACCTGCCCTTCAACACCCCCAGGGATGGGGCAGCCACAGCTTCCCTGGGCAACCTGGGCCAGGCTCTCCCCACCCTCCCAGCCCAGAATTCCTGCCTGAGGTCTCACCTCCATCCATTCCTGGCACAGCACCTTGCAGCTCTCAGCTTCAACCACCACACAAACCCGATTGTGTTGTTGTCAGTTTGTGGTGGTTTGGAAAGTACCCTGGGGTGACCTGAGGTTGGGCTGGAGGAGGCAGGAAACCTTCTGCAAGGCCAGGACTTTGTGCTCAGCCAGGAAAGAACCTTCTTCTCCACGGGATGCAGCAGGGATGCCACAAATCCATGGGCTTCCAAGAGCTGGAGGGACCACCAGGAACACTAATGGCTCATCTTTTCTCTACTCACAGAATCATTTGGATTGGGAAAGACCTTGAAGATCCCCCAGTCCAACCATTAAACCACCCCTGCCCCGTGTCCCTCAGCACCATCTCCAGGGCTTGGAAACCCCCCCAGGGATGGGGACTCCCCCCCTGCCCTGGGCAGCCTGGGCCAGGCCCTGACAACCCTTGCCAGGGAGAAATTGTTCCCCAGATCCAACCTCAACCTCCCCTGGCACAACTTGAGGCCGTTCCCTCTCACCCAAAGAACCTCATCCCAATTCCCTGCTGTAGAACCAGATGCTACCTTCCTCATGGCTTAGAAAATGAAAAAGAATGCAAATCTCCCCCAGATTTGGCTTTCTGAGGCACAGGGGGAGCTGTGCTGCTTGTCCTGCCAGCAGTGGGTCCCCCCACCTCTCTTCAGCACCCACACCCAGCCCCGAAACCTTCTGCTAAGCCAGGAGTCACTTCTGGGTGCAGGTCCCTGGGAATGAGGCTCTGGACTCTCTTGACCATCTCAAGGAACAGGCACTGTAGAAAGATATGCAAAAAAAACCCCCAACAACCCTAAAAAAAAAGCAAGTTATTCATCTCTTTACTCTGAGGTGTCTCCATTTGGCCCCTCAAAATGGTTGGGCAAAGAATCTGGGGCAACATCTGAGCCAGCCACTTCACCACTGGCTTTTCCACCCTTCTTCACTCAGATCTCACCCCAGGACTAGTTCCCAGGGGGTGAGGAGTTAATGAGTTCTCTCCACTGTGGTTTTGTGCTCTCTTGGGGGGGTTTTTGGGTTGTTTTCTTTTCCTTCTGCATCTTCTGGCTGAGCTTTGGGGGTTTTTGGTCTCTCTCCTGATGTCCCTCCTGGAGCCAAAGATGACAAGTTACCCAAGGCTCTGGGGTTGCAGGCTGGTGGTGTGAGCCCAGCAACACACTCTGGGCTTTGTGGTGGCCAGGAAGCCCCCCGAGATGGGAGGAATGCAGAAAATAGAGGCAGCTGCACCAAAATGACACCAGACTTGACTTTCAACCCATCATTACAGCTGGGTCTGCCAGGAGCCCCTGCAAGGAGCCCCAGCAGGGTTGTCTGTGGGCAAGTGGCTGCACCTCAGGCTCTTCCCAGCCTGCAAGAGAGTTGGGTTCAACCACCCTTTCTGGTCCTGAAGCCCTGGGAAAAGTTCTGCCTCTCCCAGCCTGGAAAAGGGGAAGGATCCTGAACCACTCCCAGGCTTCATGAAGCCCCTGTGAGATGTTCTGGCAGAAGGGAAAGGAGAATGATGTTTGTTGCTGCAACATGTGGCCCTGCTGCCCCAGTTGCTGCAAGTCTGTGGGTGCTGGAGTTGCTCTTCGTGGTTCCTTTTGATGTTCTCCTCTTGCCAGCATCCTCCTCCCTGCTCCTTCCCTCCCCAGCAGCAGCACAGGAGCTGGTCCTTGTCATGGTCCCCAGGAGCTGGTCCTTGTCATGGTCCCTAGGAGCTGGTCCTTGTCATGGTCCCCAGCCTGGGACAAAGGTCCCATCCGTGTCAGCTGGAGCTGGATGGAGCCTTCAAGGAAGAGAGACCATCTAAGAGCAGCAGAGCAGAAGGAACAAAGCACAGCTGAGGTTCTGGGGGCAAGGACAGAGCCTCACTCACAGAGCTGGGTGGATTCTGGGCAGAACCAGTTCTTACAAATGATTTATTTCAAAAAAAACAAACAACCCACCCACCCCAAACAAACAGCCCCCCAAAACGTTTCAGGTGTGGGGTTAATGCCCAGGGCTGGCACTGGCAAGACTGTAAGCAGGAAGAAATGGTTTGGAGGACATCAGTCCAGAAGATTGCAGGGTCCAAAGGTGATGGGGTGTGGATTCATCCATGTGAAGGAGCAAATGGCACCGTGGAGGTGGAGGCAGGTGTAGAACAACACATGGACAGATTCCCCTGGCAGGACAGGAGCAGCACATCCCACCCAGGAGATCAGGGAGCAGCCACACTGTCCTTCAGTCCAAAGATCCCTCCTTCACAGCTCAGGTGTGGGATGATTCCCACGGCATCACCTCCCCGGCCAGGGAGGACAATTCCCATTGTTGGTGTCACACTTTGGATTCTGGGCTCTGGATGGAGTTCCCTGCCAGTTTCTCCTTCTCTGGGTCTCCCTTTGTCTCTGCTGGGTTCCTGGCCTCCCTCTCCTGCCTCCTGAGGATCCCATACACAGCCACGAAGCACAGGAAAGCTCCAACCTCAAAGAAAAACTGGAGACCAAGATACCTGTGGTGTGGGAACACGAGGAATCAGGGTAGCAAGGACCCTGCTGTGAGCACCAAGCACCAGCACCCGGTGTCCCCAGGCACCCAGCAGACCCTGAGCTGTCACTCCCTCCCTGCCCTTGTCCCAAGCCCCTCCCCAGCTTTCCTGGAGCCCCTTCAGGCCCTGGAAGCTGCTCTCAGCTCTCCCTGGAGCCTTCTCTTCTCCAGGCTCAACACCCCAACTCTCCCAGCCTGGCTCCAGAGCTGCTCCAGCCCTCCCAGCATCTCCGGGGCCTCCTCTGGCCTCTCTCCAACAGCTCTGTGTCCTCCCTGTGCTGGGGACCCCAGAGCTGTTCCCAGCCCTGCAGGGGGGTCTCAGCAGAGCAGAGCAGAGGGGACAATCCCCTCCCTGGCCCTGCTGCTCACGCTGCTGGTGCCACAGCCCAGGACACGGGTGGCAATGCAGGGCTTGATGCTGGAAGTGTATTTCTGTGCTCTACAGCACCAAGCAGGCATGGACCTTGATGTGCTTGTGGCTTGTGCCAATGACCAGACAACCTTCAGAGATCCCTTCCAACCCAGACAACTCTATGACTTCCCTCCAAACCAGCCCTGAGCTCTGCTGGGCTCCAGCACAGGTCAGGAGGGCTGCGAGTGTCCCTGTTGGGTTACCAGGGAATACACAACAGCTTCTCCCAGGTTGGGGGTGGCCTGGTGCCACCTTCCCCCTTGGGTTTCCCTCCACACTCCCAACCCCTACCTTTGCCTGAAGAGGTTGTTGTCATAGTATCTGCAGGCTGCCTTCCTGGCACACTTCTTCTCCCAGAGGATGCAGGTGGTGTCGATGGCGCTGCCGTACAGAACAGGTCCTGGCATCCAGGCTGGGGGAGAAGGGACCAGAGGAGGCTTTGCTGTGTGACAGGGACACCTCTGCCAGGACAGCCCCCACCCCTGCCTACTTTCCCACCTGCTAAGAAGGTGGGAAGTGGCTGGAGATGGTCTTTGCTGTGGCCAACTGGTTCTGCTCAGTGTGTCTGCATCCCACCCAGGGGCAAGAAGGTCCCTCTTTGTCACTGCTCTCACTCCAGGAATGATGCTCAACACCTTCAGGGACCACCCTCCTGCCCACAACTGCAGTGGCACCTCCTGGGAGTGGTGAAATGAATTTTCACCATATAAAAAAAAAAACCTCCCAAACCACTAGTGGGATCACAGGACCCTTTTGGAGCCCCCTTGAAATGCTGGAGGTCAACATGGGAGTGTCTGCACCCAGGCAGGGGTTGTCCTCCTGGATCCAGACCTGTTCCTTGCCCTGTCCCCTCCCCACCACGTGCAGGAAGGCATTTCCCACCACATCTTGATTTACCTAGAACTCTCAGCAGCATGAACTGAATCCCAACAGCAAATGATTTGTCCTCAGGCTGGATGCTCCTGAAAAACACAATGGAAGGTGTGTCCTCTGGCATCCCCACAGGGATGTTTCCCTCCCTGGTGTCCTCACATGAAGCCTTACCCAAAAAGTCACCCTTCATGGAACTGTCAGAGTGGGAAGGGACCTCTGGAGATCATCCAGTCCCACTCCCCTGCTGAAGCACCCAGAGCACATCCCCCAGGGCTGCATCCAGGGGCTGGAATATCTGCAGAGAAGGGGACTCCACACCCTCCCTGGGCAGCCTGTCCCAGGGCTCTGTCACCCTCCCAGGCAAGAAGTTTTCCCTCCTCTTTCAGTGGCACTTCCCATGTTCCAGCTTGTGCCCGTTGCCCCCTGTCCTGTCCCTGGGCACTGCTGAGCAGAGTCTGGCTCCATCCTCCTGCACCCCCCTGAGATACTGCCAGGCATTAAGAAGGTCTCCCCTCAGCCTTCTCTTCTCCAGGCTGAGCAGTCCCAGCTCTCCCAGCCTTTCCTCATCAGGGAGATGCTCCAACCCCCAAGCCATCTTTGCTGCCCTCCCCTGGACTCTCTCCAGCAGTTCCCTGTCTCTCTTGAACTGGGGAGCCCAGAACTGGTCCCAGTTCTCCAGCTGTCGCCTCACCAGGGCAGAGCAGAAGGGCACAATGACCTCTCTCCACCTACTGCCCACACTCTTCCTCATGCAGCCCAGGATTCCTTTGGCCCTCTTGGCCACAAGGACACATTCCTGACTCATGGATCATGTACTATCTCCCAGGACTCCCAGATCCTTCTCCTGGGAGCTGCTTTCCAGCAGGTCCACCCCTAACCTGTACTGGTGCCTGGGGTTCTTCCTCCCCAGGTGCAGGACCTGCTCCTATTGACTCTCATGAGGTTCCTCTCTGTTCAGCTTCATCCCAACCCCCAGGGACCTCAGGCAGTTCCCATTTACATCACCAAAGATGATGTTTCACTGAGCAGGGCTGGCAGTGACCCCAGCCCTTCCCTGGCCTGGAAACCAACCAACCTCTGCAGGAGGGACAGGGAGGAGCCCAGCAAAAGGTTCTTTGCTATCAATGTCAAGAATCCCTACGAGCAAGGACACACCAAGAGGAGGCAGCAGAGCTGCTGGCCCTGCCAGGCACAGGCAGCACCAGGGCTGCTCCTTCACAGGCTCAGAGAAACCTTCAGGTTGGAAAAGCCCCTTGGGATCCACATTTTTCTTTTGCATCTTTTTTTCAGAGGGGGTTGGATCTACATGATCTTTGAAGATCTTCCAACCCAAAGCAGCCTGTGGTTCTATGGCTGCAGAAGGAGCTGGGCAAGGAGGTGCAAGATGGGGCTGATTGAACCTTCCAGTCCCTCCCCTGGCCCAAACCTTCCTCCCCACCTCCAGAACCCCCTTGGTTTTTCCCAGCAGAACCTCTGGCTTCCTTCTCTGCCACCCAGAGCAGGGCCAAGCCAAGCTGCTGACCTGAGGATGAGCATGAAGGAGGGTGTGTGGGACGTGCTGGCCAGGATCCCTGCCAGGCAGGAGAGGACCACGAAGGGCAGGAAGAGCAGCCGGTGCCGCAGCTCCCGGGTTTGGCCGAACCCTCCAGCCCGTCCTCCCAGATGCAGCTGCACTTGGTGTAGTTCTGCAGGGAGGAGAGAAAAGCCAGAGGCTGCTCAAGGCTCTGGAGATGCCAGGCATGGCCACCACGGCGTGCTGGGGAGGGTGTTTTCGCTCCCGTTGTGCACTGAAGGTGCCTCCACAGAGGTTGGTTTCACTGCCAGCTGGACCCTCTGGCATCCTGCACCAGTTTGGACCATTGGCACAGGGAAAAGGCTCCTCCACAGCTGACTTGGGGTGGGAGGAGATGAGAAGCTGGACATGAGCCCCCAGTGAGGGCTGGAGCCCAGAGGGGCAGTTGTGTCCTGGGCTGCATCACAAGAAGTGTGGCCAGCAGGGCCAGGGAGGGGATTCTGCCCCTCTGCTCTGCTCTGGTGAGACCCCCCTGGAGTGTTGTGTCCAGCTCTGGAGCCCCCAGCACAGGAGAGACATGGAGCTGTTGGAGGGGCCAGAGAAGGGCCCTGGAGATGCTGGGAGGGCTGGAGCAGCTCTGGAGCCAGGCTGGGAGAGTTGGGGTGTTGAGCCTGGAGAAGAGAAGGCTCCAGGGAGAGCTGAGAGCAGCTTCCAGGGCCTGAAGGGGCTCCAGGAAAGCTGGGGAGGGGCTTGGGACAAGGGCAGGGAGGGATGGGAGCAGGGGGAAGGGTTTCCAGCTGGCAGAGGGAGCTGGAGCTGAGATGGGAGGGAGAAATTCTGGGCTGTGAGGGTGGGGAGAGCCTGGCCCAGGTTGCCCAGGGAAGCTGTGGCTGCCCCATCCCTGGGGGTGTTGAAGGGCAGGTTGGATGGGGCTTGGAGCAGCCTGGGCTGCTGGGAGGTGTCCCTGCCCATGCAGGGGGTTGGAACTGGATGATCTTGAAGGTCCCATGATTCTATGACTATTAATTTTCTTTCAGACAAGAAAGCCCAGGTTGCAGGAAGGTGATTCCAGAGGCAGGAGCAGCCCAAGGTCTCCCAGGTCCCTGCTCCCACCTCCCTGCCTCAGGACGTGGCATGGCCAGAAAAGTGACCCACAGGGAACAGCTTTAGGGATGAGAGGGGACAAAATCTCTCCTCCCACCTCCAGGAAAGAGGATTGACTATTTTAAATGAAGTCTGGGATTGATCTTCTCCAGCCATCTGAAGTGAAGGGAACCAAAGTGACCCTCTGGGCTCCTTCTGCTGCCAGGGAGGGAGAGGTTGGTCTCCTGAGGACCCACCACAGGTTAGTGCCTCCTATAGCTGAGGTGAATTTAGGCCAAAGCAGCCAAGAAACATGCAATTAGAGAAATTAAAGCTCCTTCCATCCGGGCAGCTGCCCCAGTTGGAGTCACAATATTGAGGGGGACTTGCACCAAAGCCAAATGGAGACCAAGGGTTGGAGATCAAGGGGTTGGAGACCCACGTGATGGAGGCACAAGGCAGAGCTCAGCCCCTTCCCTTCCAAACCTCAGGGGGTTTTAAAGCAAGGAGCATGACCCCAGCTCCAAAAACCTCTGAGCAGTGGGGACAAGCCACAAAGCCACCAGTGGCCTGTCCCAAGGAGCTGCAGCATGTGGGCAGCAGAGCCACCAGGCTGAGTCAGCACCAGGGCTGGGAAAAACCACCCAGAGAAGGAGAATAACCAAGAGCAGCCCTGAGAGCAGGGCTGGGGTTTCTGGGCAGGGACAAGAAGCTGGATGGGCACGTGGGCAGCCTCAGGTTTTTCAGGGCTGTGAATCAAACGTCCCCAACCCAACACATCTGAGGTTTCCATGAGATATTAGAAAGGATCTCTTCACAGAAAGGGACATTAAACCCTGGCCCAGAGTGGTGGTCAAGTCTCCATCCCTGGAGGGGTTTCAGATCCGTGTGGATGTGGTGCTGAGGGACCTGGTTTAAGCATTGGCATGGGCAGAGTTGGGTTAATGGTTGGTGGAGTTGGGTTGTGGTTGGACTTGATGACCTTAAAGGTCTTTTCCAACCAGCAGGATGCTGGGGTTCTGCAATTTAGCAACTGGTTTCTTGAGAGGGAAAGCTGCTCACATCAACCTCTGCCTGATCTTCATGGAATCCCAGAACTCCAGGTTGGGAGGGACCTCAAGGATCATCTGGTCCAACCTTTCCAGGTCCTACTCCAGTTGGTATGAGGTGGCTCAGCAGCCTGTCAAGCTGAGACTTCAAACTGCCCCATGTGGGGGAATCCACCACTTCCTTTGGGAGACTGTTCCAGTGTTGGACTGTCCTGATGGGGAAACATTTCCCTCTTGTGTCCAATGGGAATCTGCCCAGGAGCAACTTGTGCCCATGACCCCTTGTCTTTTCCATGGGACTCCTTGTCAATAGGGAGTCTCCATCTTCCTGGGAGCCACCCTTTAAGGACTGGAACATGGTGATAAGGTCTTCCCTGAAACCTTCTCTTCTCCAGGCTGAACAAACTCAGTTTTCTCAGCCTCTCCTCATCTGCCAGGTCCTCCAGTCCCCTCATCATCTTTCTGGCTCTTCTCTGGACCCTCTCCAGCCTGTCCCATCCTTTTTGTAGAGCAGGGACCAGAACTGAACACATCACTCCAGGTGTGCTCTGACCAGCACTGAGTAGAGGGGGATAATTTCTACTTTTTTTCCCCAGCTGGGACCTCCCAGAACCCCAGATTTTGGGGTGTGTGCTGAGATCCAACCAGCTCAGCTCCAACCCAGTAGTGGGGTGTCCCTGTTCCCATCCATGGCCACGCACAGTGAGAGAAGGGCAGGGCTCAGGAACCCAGGAGCCACATGGGATGGAGATTCCTGCAGCCCTGGGGTAGACCTGGTGGCCCCCTCAGCTCAGCAGGTCACTTTGAACCTGAACAAATGGCACAGCACAACAAGGATGTCACTGCAAGCTCCTGCTCTTGGGCAAAGTCTGCAGGCTCCTGCTCCTGCCCATGACATGTGGGGACATTGAACAATGCAAAGAGAAAATGGCTGAAACTGATGGAATCATGGAATGGGTTGGGGAGATGGTAAAGATCATCCAGTTCCAACCCCCCTGCATGGGCAGGGACACCTCCCAGCAGCCCAGGCTGCTCCAAGCCCCATCCAACCTGCCCTTCAACACTGCCAGGGATGGGGCAGCCACAGCTTCCCTGGGCAACCTGGGCCAGGCTCTCCCCACCCTCACACCACAGAATTTATTCCTCATGTCTATCTCACATCTCCCCCCTTCCAGTTTCAAGCCATCACCCCTTGTCCTACAGCTACATGCCCTTGTAAAAAGCCCCTGTTGTAGAAGAGCTTTCAACTTAGAGTGTTAAAGCCAAGTTTGCACCACACAAACCTCCTCTGGGAGGGCTGCAGCAAAAGCTCAGCCCAGAGCTGTAGGTTTTCCTGCACTAGGGGAGGGTTTCATCACCCAGATCATGGGAGGGCTGGAGCAGCTCTGCTCTGGAGCCAGGCTGGGAGAGTTGGGGTGTTCAGCCTGGAGAAGAGAAGGCTCCAGGGAGAGCTGAGAGCAGCTTCCAGTGCCTGAAGGGGCTCCAGGAAAGCTGGGGAGGGGCTTGGGACAAGGGCAGGGAGGGATGGGAGCAGGGGGAAGGGTTTCCAGCTGGCAGAGGGAGCTGGAGCTGAGATGGGAGGGAGAAATTCTGGGCTGTGAGGGTGGGGAGAGCCTGGCCCAGGTTGCCCAGAGAAGCTGTGGCTGCCCCATCCCTGGGGGTGTTGAAGGGCAGGTTGGATGGGGCTTGGAGCAGCCTGGGCTGCTGGGAGGTGTCCCTGCCCATGGCAGGGGGTGGGACTGGATGGTCTTTAAGGTCCCTTCCAACCCAAACCATTCTATGATTCTATTTCAACCTGCCCTTGTTGGCCAGGCTCTCCCCACCCTCCCAGACAAGAATCCCTTCCTCATGTCCAACCAAAATCTCCCCTCTTCCAGTTTTAATCCATTCCCTCTTGTCCTCTCCAAGGGTTTTTCCTGGGACATTCTCAACCTTCCCCTGCTCACCCCCCAGGCTCCTGCAGATCCTTTCCCACACCAGTGACCACCAGACAAGCCAATTGCCAGCCCTGAGCACCTCACTGGTCACCTCTGATGAGCCACCCCATGGCAGGACAGCAGCCCAGTGGGACTGACTCACCAGGACTGAGTTGTTGTCCACGTTGATGTTCACAGCTCTGCAGCCAGCAGAGCAGGGTGAGATGTACTCAATGGCATCAGAGCCACAGATGGGGTTGTAGGCTTTCTCAGGGCAGTTACACTGCAGGTTACACCCCCAGGCCTGGTGTCCAAGCTCAGAGCTGTGACAGGAAGAGAGAATGAATGCATGACACTGAGCACCAGCCATATGCACCTCCTATACTGCAGATACACCTGCATAACAGAGCAGCAAAGAAACACTTGGCTTCCTAACAAATCCTGCCCCACATCTAAGTGAGGACCAACAGGAGTTGCACTATAAACCCTCCCCAAGCCTTTGCTCTGCCTGGGCAAAACATCCTGAGCATAAAATGGGCAATGGACTCACCCACTTCCTTCCTATTTGGCCCCAAAAGTAGGGTCTGGGGGTAGGGCAGCTCCTTGGGGTGGTGGGGAGGGTGGGAGGTGGGGAGGACCAGAGCCCACCAGCTGCTGAAGATGTGAATTCACAGCCACTTGGGTCAAGGTCCTGCCCCTGTTTGGTTGTGCAGGGGAGCAGCCCCAGCTCTGATCCCAGGGCTGGTCCCTGCCCAGATCATTTCCCTGGGAGTCAAGTGCTGGGATTTCCAAGATGAAACTTCAACCTCGTGCTGTTTGTGCCAAAAAAAACCCAACCCCACGAGTTCCACAACCAGTGGGTTTCACCACCAACCAGTGGAGCCAGGAGGGCTGAGGAGGCAGCAGATGCTGCCACCCTGATTCTGTCCCTGCTCACTGCTGCTCAGGAGGGAACACACCCATTTCTGGGTGTTCTGCTGGAGTCCCACCTCCACCTGGAGGAGAGCAGGTAGGGATGGGGGCACCTGGGAATAGCCCCCCCCCATGCCCAGCCCAGCTGGAGCTGTTGGTACCTCTGAGTGTAGGTGATGCCTGCGACCTTCTGCGTGGGGCAGCCCAGGAAGAGGAGGGGGAAAGCCAGGAGCAGGCAGAGGAACATGCCCAGGACACACATGGCACTGCACTGCCTCAAGGACATCTGGAACCTCTTCATGATGGCACCACCCACCACGATCCCCACCATGGCCCCGGGGATGTTCACAGCACCTGGGGAAAGGAAGGTCACAGAGTCACAGAAGAGTTTGGGTTGGAAGGGACCTTCAAGATCATCTAGATCCAACCCCTTGCATGGGCAGGGACACCTCCCAGCAGCCCAGGCTGCTCCAAGCCCCATCCAACCTGCCCTTCAACACCCCCAGGGATGGGGCAGCCACAGCTTCCCTGGGCAACCTGTTCCAGTGTCTCACCAAAGAAGGTGAGAAGATCTCACAAGGAGACCTCAGACAGGACATTCTGGACCTCACAGAGCAGGCAAGAGCAGCCTGATCTCCTGAGCACACACCCCACCTCCCCACACCACCACCAGCCAGCAATCAGCCCAACCCTCCCAAGCAATGAGGGGAACTGAAGCAAACACTGGGCAGGGTTTAAGCAGGATCATTGCACCAGCCTGGCTGGCCTCTTGCCACAGAGTGTCTGCAAAATGCCCAGAGACATTTACAGAACCACAGAATCATTTGGATTAGAAAAGGCCTTTAAGATCAAGACCAACCAGCTGCAGTTTTTTATTTTGCTGACTACTTATTTTGTTTTAAAGACCTTTTAGCCAGTGCTGCCTGGTCAGTAACCCCTGCTACAGAAATGGGCTCCATTCAGATCTGATGTTCCTGTGCTCCTTGGAATGCAATGAGTTGGTTTCTTCTCCTTCATTAGACTGAACAGCTTCAGAATCCCAGATTGGCTTTGATTGGAAGAGACTTTGAGGATCCTCCAGCCCAACCCTTCCCCCAGCCCTGCCAAGGCCACCCCTGCCCCATGTCCCTCAGCACCATCTCCAGGGCTTGGAAACCCCTCCAGGGATGGGGACTCCCCCCCTGCCCTGGGCAGCCTGGGCCAGGCCCTGACAACCCTTGCCAGGGAGAAATTGTTCCCCAGATCCAACCTCAACCTCTCCTGGCACAACTTGAGGCCATTCCCTCTTGTTCTAAGGTATCAAACATTTTTCTAGGTCTTTAAATATTTTATTCTAGCAAGTTTCCAACAGAAGAAGGACACGGAGCTGTTGGAGGGGCCAGAGAAGGACCATGGAGATGCTGGGAGGGCTGGAGCAGCTCTGCTCTGGAGCCAGGCTGGGAGAGTTGGGGTGTTCAGCCTGGAGAAGAGAAGGCTCCAGGGAGACCTTAGAGCAGCTTCCAGTGCCTGAAGGGGCTCCAGGAAAGCTGGGGAGGGGCTTGGGACAAGGGCAGGGAGGGAGAGGACAAGGGGGAA